TCCTAACTCAAACAATGTGGGGTTTATTATTCTACACATACTTCTAATGTCTCTCAGGTGTTCACATTCACGTAGATAGTGGTCAAGGCGGTGTCCATCACTCTCACCACAGATTCTGCAACTTCGCTGATCAACTGTTGTTTCCATTCCACATCTCCATGGATATTTGTATCCTAGACGGAATCTCGCTATTACCGATTCTCTCCCTCGTTTCCTCCTCTTCGGCCATAATGACTGGGATTGCCAGCTGCAACCATGTTATACCATCGTACAGATTCACTGGTTTGTGCTTCTATCCTCCTTTCCTCAGTTACCTTGTCACGGTGATGTTGCCTGATAATGCCTCTAATTTGTAGTTGAGTCTTGGGTATGAAGTATTCAATATGGTCTCCTTCAGCGCCTTCAGCAGCCAGCACATCTGCTCGTTCATTCCCACATATTCCAACAACAATCTCACAGCTCTCTTAATTTCAGCGACTATTGCAAGATTTTCTGCCTGATTTTTACTTAGGCTTTGCAGTGCTGCTTTTGAATCGGTGCAAATCACTGCACCATTAGTGTTCCGTTCAAGAAACCTTAACGCCATAACAATGGCAGTTAGCTCTGCTTGCGTTGAAGATGCATAGTTCTCAATACGTGTTTTTTCTTCATTTCTGCGTTGGAAAGTATTATCCTTGATTACCGTGTATGATGCACCAGCCCTGCCATTGATAGGATTAGATGACCCGTCAGTGTAGATTTGATCTAGTTCATCTCTGGCTTCTTTATAAATTTCCTCGAGATACTTGTGCCTCATTTCTTGTGGTATCATGTTGGATTTTTTCATTGCCATTTCATTGATGATGATCTTACATGAGTCATCCTCCCAGGGAGGTAACCTCTCTACAGGCAGGAGCTCACGGGCTTGCTCAAGCAGGTGAAGCTCTTCCAGGTAGCAGACTGATCTGTGATGCCATTTTTTGCTTCTCCTGTTTCCCCCTGAAAGTAGCACAGAGCTCAGTTTTTTACAGACTTAATAAGCCTCATTGGAAGGTCAGCCAAGTGACCTTAGATCATCTTGCAGACTCCTTGACGTGTTGACTTCAAGGTTAAGTGTGCAAAAACACTTTTAATTGAAAATTCCCTGATTTCGCAAATCTTGTGGGAACGTTCGGGATGGTCTTGCTCTCAGCTGATTCAGCAAAACCAAGAATTTTCAATTAAATTTCTAAATTTCAATTAATTTTTTGTAAATTCCTCTGGGTGTTACAAGTATATATCACATTCTCTCTCACACAACCCCTTCCCCCCCATTTCTTACCTCCCTCCCTCCGGAGCCGGTCGGCCGAGCGGACAGCACGCTGGACTTGTGATCCTGTGGTCTTGGGTTCGATCCCAGGTGCCGGCGAGAAACAATGGGCAGAGTTTCTTTCACCCTATGCCCCTGTTACCTAGCAGTAAAATAAGTAGTTGGGTGTTAGTCAGCTGTCACGGGCTGCTTCCTGGGGGTGGAGGCCTGGTCGAGGACCGGGCCGCGGGGGACATTAAAGCCCCGAAATCATCTGAGATAACCTCAAGATAACCTCCCTTCCCTCCCCTCCCCCATTCCATTTCCCCTCCCTCCTCCCTCTCTCACCTTCCCTCCCTCTCTCACCTTCCCTCCCTCTCTCACCTTCCTGTTGCTGGCGTAGGTACACTTGCAGCCAGGTGGACAGTTCTGGTCCCAGTCGGCCAGCGCGGGCGTCACCACCACCAGAGCCGCCCACGCCGCCCACCACACCCCCGCCCGGCGCCCGCCCATCGCCTCTCTACCGTCACCGGCTGGTCATCTCTGTGGGAGAAGAGAGAGTTATGATTAGTTGGTGTTTTATAGAGTCATTAGGCGATAATCAAGAGTCGTCGACTTGGAGAGAAGTCAAACCAGAGGGGACAAGGCTCTGTGGCCAAACCTGACTCGAATCACTTGGCATGGAGAATCACAGGTAAAACTTAGTCTGTCTGTTATCCTCTAGTCACGAGAGGAACATTGCTAAACGCATTCTTGCATCAGCGATGCGCATTCATTTGTTTGTTTCTGTAATATTTCTCATATTTGTTGGATGTATCATGAGGATAATCTTAGTGGTGAGGAGGAATTGAACTTTACATTATTGTGCACCCCATACCCATCCCGTGGGCGGTGGTGGAATGGGTTACAGAGGCACATAATAGGTCCAGGAACTGAAGCCCAGAGTTCGTTTAGCTAAGCTAGTTACGCAAGTGCTAATATATTATATATATATATATATATATATATATATATATATATATTATATATATATATATATATATATATATATATATATATATATATATATATATGTCGTACCTAGTAGCCAGAATGCACTTCTCGGCCTACTATGCAAGGCCCGATTTGCCTAATAAGCCAAGTTTTCCTGAATTAATATATTTTCTCTATTTTTTTCTTATGAAATGATAAAGCTACCCATTTCATTATGTATGAGGTCAATTTTTTTTTATTGGAGTTAAAATTAATGTAGATATATGACCGAACCTAACCAACCCTACCTAACCTAACCTAACCTATCTTAATAGGTTAGGTTAGGTTAGGTAGCCAAAAAAGTTAGGTTAGGTTAGGTTAGGTAGGTTAGGTAGTCGAAAAACAATTAATTCATGAAAAGTTGGCTTATTAGGCAAATCGGTCCTTGCATAGTAGGCAGAGAAGTGCGTTCTGGCTACTAGGTACGACATATATATATATATATATATATATATATATATATATATATATATATATATATAATAATAATAATTTACACAAATACATATACATATCAATAATGTTGTTATATGACAAGTGATTCAACAAGAGGCTCACAACAGTCACTATACAAGGCACTTTACATCTATGGTGAGTCACACAGTTACTAGTCTTGCTCCACACCCACCCAACTGGGCGGCAGCTTTACAGTCATGTGCTCCACACCCACCCAACTGGGCGGCAGCTTTACAGTCATGTGCTCCACACCCACCCAACTGGGCGGCAGCTTTACAGTCATGTGCTCCACACCCACCCAACTGGGCGGCAGCTTTACAGTCATGTGCTCCACACCCACCCAACTGGGCGGCAGCTTGCAGGCTGCACCTACAGTAAGCAAATTTTGGATATTTGGTTAAAATTCCCGGCAGAAACATCATTATGAATGAAGTACTTACACATTTTTTGGACTCCATTGGTGGTATCTCTGAATTCCGCGAAAGCCAATGATCAAGAGAAAGCGCCAAGCCATTACTACTATAAAGCACTTGGATGGGATCAGGATAAGGATTTGGGATGGGACGGAGGGAAGGAATGGTGCCCAACCACTTGGACGGTCGGGGATTGAACGCCGACCTGCATGAAGCGAGACCGTCGCTCTACCGTCCACCCGCAAGTGGTTGGGTAGGCTACAGACCTCTGATTATTTAGCATGGGTGGAACACGAACAAGGGGACACAGGTGGAAACTGAGTACCCACATGAGCCACAGGGACGTTAGAAAGAACTTTTTCAGTGTCAGAGTAGTTAACAGATGGAATGCATTAGGCAGTGATGTGGTGGAGGCTGACTCCATACACAGTTTCAAATGTAGATATGATAGAGCCCAGTAGGCTCAGGAACCTGTACACCAGTTGATTGACAGTTGAGAGGCGGGACCAAAGAGCCAGAGCTCAACCCCCCCCAAGCACAACTAGGATAATACAACACCAAGAAAACTACAACATTTCCTCCCTAGTCTGTCACCGAACACAGAGATAATAAACTTATAACTTCAGTAATAAACACGGGAGGAAACGCTGGGTTAATCACCAATTTCCTCTCCTCAAGTGACCATAACGATAAATTACCACAACATAATACTGCCACAAATCAAAACACTCGAGACGCACTTGAAGGCCATCTTAAGTAGGCTATAAAGTGCGACCACTGAACCACAACGCCACATTTCCGTCCGAAAAAAACACTTTCCCGCCAAAATTGCCTTCAGCCTTGGCGCGTAAACACCGCCACGGGCGCCAACCGCCTCAAATTCCCGCCAGAAAAGGGGGGGACTAGGAAATATATCGGTGGAGAGTTCTCAGGTTAAAACAGTGGTGCTTTAAGAGGCTCTGAGGCAGCTTTAGTGGGGAATTGGGTCGTTGGCGGATAGGCTCTTGTCCCTTCTTTCCCTACCCAGTACCGGACCACAAATTGGGGGATAGTACGCTGTTGTGGTTGGCGCCTTTGATACCTTGTTATTGTGGTGGTAACTTCCGGTTGCAGATCGTTGGCGCCACGAGTTTTACACCATTTATTTGGTGTTGTTTTTGTCTTTGAAGCAATGTTTATCTTCTGGTGGTGGTGGTGGTGGTGGTGGTGGTGGTGGTGGTAGTGGTAGTGCTTGTGGTGGTGGTGGTGGTGGTGGTGGTGAAGGTGCTTGTGGTGGTGGTGGTGGTGGTGGTAGTGCTTGTGGTGGTGGAGGCACATGTGTTGAAAGTAGAGTCCAACATCCCCCAAAACAGCCAAACAGGGAGGAATAAGTCTCACTGGTCCCACACAACCACAGGGGAGTGGTGTTCACCATTACAGGATGCGATGCTGTTAGTCTATCCCTTATCCTTCACCCAGAACATGGACACAAGCCACACTCGACTGCTATACTGGCCTACAGAGCAAGCAATCTCCTCCACGACGGAGATTCTCCATACATTGTAGCAAGACTTGGTAGGATAAGAAGCAAGAGAATGTGAAACCTTTGCGATTGGCGACCCAATCAGTTCTCAAGATGTGACAATCAACCAATTTGTACTTTTGTAGCGTGCTCAATGGTACTTTTGTAGCGTGGCTCAATGGTTCCTGGTACGCTTGTTAAGCAGTGTGTGCAGAATATATGAGCATTTAGTACTGTTCCGACACCCACATTAGTGGGTGTCAGTGTGGGTGGGGTCAGTGGCTGAGTGGACAGCGCTTGGAACTCGTAATCTTAGGGTCCGGGTTCGACCCCGGGCGATGGCAAAAACAAGTGAGCAGACTTTCTTTCACTTCTGATGCACCTGTTCCCTAGCAGTAAATAGGTACCTGGGAGTTAGACAGCTGCTACTGGCTGCTTCCTGGGTGGGTGTGGGTGTGTACTCGCCTAATTGTGCTTGCGGGGGTTGAGCTCTGGCTCTTTGGTCCCGCCTCTCAACCGTCAATCAACAGGTGTACAGGTTCCTGAGCCTACTGGGCTCTATCATATCTACACTTGAAACTGTGTATGGAGTCAGCCTCCACCACATCACCTCCTAATGCATGCCATTTGTCAACCACTCTGACACTAAAAAAGTTCTTTCTAATATCTCTGTGGCTCATTTGGGCACTCAGTTTCCACCTGTGTCCCCTTGTTCGTTAGTAACAATTGATTGACAGTTGAGAGGCGGGCGAAAGAACAGAGCTCAACCCCCGCAAGCACAACTAGGTGAATACAACTAGGTGAATACACACACACACACACACAACCTATATATTATGTGAGAAATCTTTAAAGAATTCTGATAAAGAAAGAGATCTAGGAGTGGTTCTAGATAGAAAACTATCACCTGAGGACCACATAAAGAATATTGTGCGAGGAGCCTATGCCACGCTTTCTAACTTCAGAATTTCTTTTAAATACATGGATGGCGATATACTAAAGAAATTGTTCACGACTTTTGTTAGGCCAAAGCTAGAATATGCAGCTGTTGTGTGGTGCCCATATCTTAAGAAGCACATCAACAAACTGGAAAAGGTACAAAGACATGCTACTAAGTGGCTCCCAGAACTGAAGGGCAAGAGCTACGAGAAGAGGTTAGAGGCATTAAATATGCCAAAACTAGAAGACAGAAGAAAAAGAGGTGATATGATCTCTACATACAAAATAGTAACAGGAATTGATAAAATCGATAGGGAAGATTTCCTGAGACCTGGAACTTTAAGAACAAGAGGTCTTAGATTCAAACTAGCTAAACACAGATGCCGAAGAAATATAAGAAAATTCACTTTCGCAAACAGAGTGGTAGACGGTTGGAACCAGTTAGGTGAGAAGGTGGTGGAGGCCAAGACCGTCAGTAGTTTCAAAGCGTTATATGACAAAGAGTGCTGGGAAGACGGGTGAGTGGGTGCTGCCCAATACTGTCACTATGGCGGTGTGTCCACTCACAGGATGAGTGGCGCTGCCCAATACTGTCACTATGGCGGTGTGTCCACTCACAGGATGAGTGGTGCTGCCCAATACTGTCACTATGGCGGTGTGTCCACTCACAGGATGAGTGGTGCTGCCCAATACTGTCACTATGGCGGTGTGTCCACTCACAGGATGAGTGGCGCTGCCCAATACTGTCACTATGGCGGTGTGTCCACTCACAGGATGAGTGGCGCTGCCCAATACTGTCACTATAGCGGTGTGTCCACTCACAGGATGAGTGACGCTGCCCAATACTGTCACTATGGCGGTGTGTCCACTCACAGGATGAGTGGTGCTGCCCAATACTGTCACTATGGCGGTGTGTCCACTCACAGGATGAGTGGCGCTGCCCAATACTGTCACTATGGCGGTGTGTCCACTCACAGGATGAGTGGCGCTGCCCAATACTGTCACTATGGCGGTGTGTCCACTCACAGGATGAGTGGCGCTGCCCAATAAGTCACAGGTAGACAGTGAGTTACAGGAAGAGAGGGCATATGATCACAGCATACAAGATACTGCCCGTAATAAACAGAGTGGGCAACAAGAGGACACAGGTGGAAACTGGACACACAAATGAGCTGAAGGAATGCCAGGAAACACTCCT